GGTGCTGGCATTTGATGCTCTTTACCAGGGATGGAGGGGTGCTGGCATTTGATGCTCACTACCAGGGATGGAGGGGTGCTGGCATCTGATGCTCTTTACCAGGGATGGGTGCTGGCATCTGATGCTCTTTACCAGGGATGGATGGGTGCTGGCATCTGATGCTCTTTATCAGGGATGGAGGGGCGCTGGCATTTGATGCTGTTTACCAGGGATGGAGGGGTGCTGGCATTGATGCTCATTACCAGGGATGGAGGGGTGCTGGCATATGATGCTCTTTACCAGGGATGGAGGGGTGCTGGCATATGATGCTCTTACCGGGGATGGAGGGGTGCTGGCATTTGGTGCTCGTTACCGGGGATGGAGGGTTGCTGGCATTTGATGCTCTTACCAGGGATGGAGGGGTGCTGGCATTTGGTGCTCGTTACCGGGGATGGAGGGGTGCTGGCATCTGATGCTCTTTACCGGGATGGAGGGGGCTGGCATTTGGTGCTCGTTACTAGGGATGGAGGGGTGCTGGCATCTGATGCTCACTGGTTGCCAGGAACTAGGCAGGAAACGTGACCCAATGAAATGCCATATAAATGGTATTATAGCAATGGACCTACAGGAAGTGGTTGCAAGGAGGCTGCATGAGATTATCAGTACCGAGATGGAATAAATGATTAATAAAGGGGGAAAAAAACACAGAATTCTACAAAAAAATGGCAGTTGTTGACAGTGCACAGAGGGCATTTATAAAGCAGTAAATGTGACTTTCACCGAACACTTACTGGTAGTGAATCAATCACTGTCATTTAAAACACAGAAAGATTCACCTGTTTGGCAAAGTGTCAGATTCACTGCTATATAAATATAGCCCTAAATGTTACCTATCTCGGACTGAGGGTGGTGAAAAGACTTTGTCCGATTGATATTGTCACCGGGACCCTCAGCTCTTTTTATACACGAGCCCAGACGTGGTGAGAAATATCTGCGCGTTTCTAAAAAGTTTGGGCGGCGAGAAGGACCTAATTCGTGAGGAAATTTCTATGAGCTGTAGTACAATGTAGTTGTTATAATGGATTGTTAATTGTGATATCATTCCCGGCCTGACCGAGATGACAGTGTGATTGTAAAAGACATTTCTGTGATTAATTGTGCTGTCACGCGCTGACGAGGGGAGCACTGGCGGGAGGCATCTCTCTGCAGTGACGCAAGCTGTGAAACATGCCATTAGGGAGGCGGTGGTGGCGGAACGGCTTCTGTGTGAACAGTAATAACAAGTGACCGGCCGGACAGTGATGAGAGATGGCACTCAGTGCCGGGGGGGCCGACGTACATCAAAACAGAACTCGGCGCCGTCCGAAGCGGCGCCCCGCAAGTCAGATATTACAGGGAAAGTAATAATTCTTCACCGGAAACACCTGGAATGGCAAATGTGTTCTCTGATTGTCGGCCATCAGGGAGATGAGGGATCCCCGGGTAAAAATAAATGACCGACATTAAAAAGAAATATATGTGTTGTATGAAAATGCCGGGCAGAGCTGGGCACATTCCGTTTACTGCTTGCTGTACAAAAGGGGGCGCTATCATACTGGGACCACCTACAGAACAGCAGCCCCAACACCATAATACCGCCATGAAGCATCACTGGTCAACAAGGACCACGCCAAGATGCCCAACTGGTGATGAGCCGAATGTGCTTATACATTTGGATGATCGCTGAACCCAGCCAAAAGTCCAGGTTTGGACAATGTCTAAGTGAACTGAGCCCACCTTTGTCCTAGCAACCACTGACAGTGTGCTACCCGTACAGCATCACTGGTTGCTAGGATGCTGGCAGCTGGACCACACAGCATCATTGGTTGCTAGGATGCTAGCAGCTGGGCCACACAGTGTCATTGGCTGGTAGGACCCTAGAGGTTGGGTCACACAGCATCACTGGTTGCTAGGATGCTAGTGGATGGGCCACACAGCGTCATTGGTTGCTAGGATGATAGTGGCTGGGCTGCACAGCATCAATGGTTGCTAGGACGCTAGCAGTTGGGCCACACAGCATCACTGGTGGCTAGGATGCTAGCCATTGGGCCACACAAACTGACAAAACTGCAAAACAATACGATGAATGGCAAAAACGACAACTGAACACTTGTAACGGCGCTAGGATGATAGCTGGTTGTTAGCTGCTGTACCACACAGTGTCACTGGTTGCTAGGATGCAGATGGGCACACTATAACAACCAATGATTCTGTGGGCTCGCATGTGACCTTGCAGCCAATGACACTGTGTGGCCATGCCACTAGCATCCTAGCAACCAGTGATGCTGTGTGACCCAGCCACTAGTGTCCTAGCAACCAATGACACTGGGTGGCCCAGCAGCTAGCGTCCTAGCAACATTACAAGTGTTCCGTTGTCGTTTTTGCCATTCAGCATATTGTGTTGCTGTTTTATCAATCTGCTCCGGAGAGAAGGGATGAATGTCCCCTGCAATGGTGATCCCTGACACCCCTCCTGTACTCCCACCTGTGTATCCCCCCTCCACCAATTTAGAGTGCAGCAGCACCCACTGCAAGCCTGCTTGAAACTTTCACCTTGCAGGTTACACAGGGAGAGCAGCTCTCTAATCAGTGGAGCTCCTCTGTCAGTGTGACCTCTGCGAGCACTGTACGAGGAACACTGACATGGCTCACCATGCGGAGAGTAGGGCAGGTTACGAGGTCTATTTGTAAACAGTTTACAGGCCCGTTCACCCTGCGAATATCTGTGAACATTCGCTCTGTGCGAATATATGCCAAAATAATTGTTACTTGTTTATTTTTTTCTTTACAAGTGTAACAAAATCTCAAATGTTTTCATGAAATATCACATTATGGCCACTAGGTGGAGCTAAAGGAGCACAGGAAGCATGTATTAATTTTATACGCTCCTTAGCACCATCTAGTGGCCATAATGCGATATTACACGAAGAAAACAAATTGTAAAAAAAACTAAAGAACATTCATTTTGGCATATATCCACACGCAACGATGTTCACAGATATTCACAGGGTGAACACCTTTGCGAAAAGTTTATTAATGGACCTCAGAGCAGGGTAGCGGGGGGCAAACTCCAGCCCGCCAGCTGTTCCGGAAATACAAATCCCATGGGGCATTGAAAGATTCTCACAGCCACAACTTCCACGGATGCATGTTGGTATTCGTAGTTTCACCACAGCTGGAGGACTGAAGTTAGCCTACCCCTGTGCCCCAGGGGACCGTTTTATATTTGCACAGAGCGCATGCTCACGGGTATTCGCTGGGCAAACATCCCTGCAAAACGTTTAAATAGACCCCATAATGTGTAAGTGCGCACAGCATATTTGCACATTATGAACTCTTACCTTGCACTCTTCCCTTCGGTCCCCTCCTTGCGGCGTCCAAGGTTGGCAAAAAGAATGTCACATTTCGGTTTGTCTGACCACAGAACAGTTTTTTCCACATTGTACCATTGTAAATGAGCTTTGGCCCAGAGAAGACGGCGGCATTTCTCGATCACGTTGAGATATAACTTCTTCTTTGCATGATAGAACTTTAACTTGCATTTCTGGATGGCACGGCGAACTGTGTTCACAGACAGTGATTTGTGGAAGTATTCCTGAGCCCATGCAGTGATGTCCGTCACAGAATCATTGATGCAGTGCCGTCTGAGGGCCTGAAGATCAAGGACATCCAATATTGCATTTGTGACTTGTCCCTTGAGCAGAGATTTCTCCAGATTCTCAGAATCTTTTGATGATATTATGTACTGTAGATGACGAGATATTTAAAGTCTTTGCAATTTTACATTGAGGAACATTATTCTGAAACTGTGCGACAATAATTAGACGCAGGTTTTCACAGATTGGTGAACCTCGGCCCATCTTTATTTCTGAGACACTCTGACTCTCTAAGATGCTCTTTTTATACCCGATCATGTTACTGACCTGTTGCCAATTGGCCTAATTAGTTGCAGAAAGTTCTCCCAGCTCCTCCTTGAAGTTCCACTTGCTGTGCCAGCTTTTTGTTGCCTTGTCACAACTTTTAGGAGACGTGTTGCTGCCATCAACTTCAAAATGATCTTTTTTTTTTTTTTTTTTTAAATGGTCCATTTTCTCAGTTTAAACATTTGATATGTTTTCTATTTTCTATTGTGAATACAATATGGGATTATGAGATGTGCAGATCATTGCATTCTGTTTTTATGTAGATTCCAACTTTTTTGGAATATGGGTTGTACACAAAAGGTTATGTAAAGAGCTTAGGTGGAGGAGCTGGGCCAGCACAGACACTAATTAGACACTCCCATAAGAGGAGAGGGCTATGAACATGCGAGGAGCAAAGGGGGAGGGGGCTGTGATGGCGAAATGGCTCATCCTGATGTTGTCAAATTTTATAACAAGTTCAGAGGCCTAGTAAAAAGTGAATAAAAAAATTGTGTCTTTACCTGCAATTTTTCAAGTTGGTGACAGGGTCTCTTTAAATGATACACTGTATATAGAGACCTGCAGGTCAGAACCAAAAGGGGGACATTTTGGGGTATTTAATATCTAAGGAGGGACAGTCGGACGCTGAAAGTCCGGAGTTTCCACTGTCCTTTGGAGGACTCGTCGTGTGATAGCGCTGATTGGCCGCACACAGTCACATGCTCTCCCATACCCGGAAGTACCGGTGGTGGGGGAGGAAATTAAAGGTGAGTAAATGCTGGAGAGAGGATTATAGACAACCACTTGCTCTGCTGTGAGGTCGGAGTTAAAGTTTATGCATCGTGTATGAGTTTCAGGGTTTGGGGTCCGGAGTTCAGATTTAGGGGTGAAAGATGTGAAGGTTCTGTATAGGGTGAAAAGTGACAGCGGCACTGAAAGGGCTCCGATTTGCTTGGCTGCTACTGAAGCCGCCATTTTACCGGAGACATCTCCCTCTAGTGCTCACTGCTGTCACCATGGAGACGACGCGTAACCCACTCGGCCAATCAGAGTCGACCAATGTCCTCCGCTGTCCACGTGACCCGGAAGTAACGGCAAAATGGCAGCGGAGAGAGCGCCGTGGTTGGTGTTGGGGGGAGGAATCGCTGGAGTCACCTGTGCCGAGCAAGTGAGATATGACTACCCTCAGCTGGGTCATGTGACCGGTGCCCGTGTGTGCAGTTATTGTCTTGTAGGGAAAGAGATAATATTGGAGGAAAAGCCCTTATCCTGCCTGCATGGGCACAGTAACAGGAAATAAGTGGAAATCTCCCCAGAGAGGTCACAGACGGAAATGAAACCCTGACAAAAAGATTATCTTTTCTAAGCTTCATCCTAAACTAAAAAAGGGAAAAATTAGGCTGGAGTCTGGTAAAGTTAAACTCCAGTTTTGTGCCCCTGTTGGAGAGTTTCCCCCTGTCCATTCTTCGTCTGCTCAGATATGGAGAGTATTATTGATGGCCTCCAACTATCAGTTGGAGGCCTGCGGAAATACCAGATTCTTCCAGTTATGGGAGGGGGGGAGTCATGTGACCTCCTCCCAGAGTGCAGTGCTTTGGAAGTTGGAACAAATAAGGTGTGCCAACCATGTGACCAGGGCCATGGCTTTAGTCACATGGTCTGTGCTGAATAAACACAGGAGAGTTGAGGCTTCCTCCCTCTGGTCCCCTCCTGGGTGCAGTCGGGACAGAATCCCTCCCTCTGGTCCCCTCCTGGGTGGAGTCGGGACAGAATCCCTCCCTCTGGTCCCCTCCTGGGTGGAGTCGGGACAGAATCCCTCCCTCTGGTCCCCTCCTGGGTGGAGTTGGGACAGAATCCCTCCCTCTGGTCCCCTCCTGGGTGGAGTTGGGACAGAATCCCTCCCTCTGGTCCCCTTCAGGTTGAAGTCAAGACAGAATCCCTCCCTCTGGCCCCCTTCTGGGTGGAGTTAGGACAGAATCCCTCCCTCTGGTCCCCTTCAGGTTGGAGTCGGGACATCTTCCCTCCCTCTGGTCCCCTCCTAGGTGGAGTCAGGACAGAATCCCTCCCTCTGGTCCCCTCCTGGGTGGAGTCGGGACAGAATCCCTCCCTTTGGTCCCCTCCTGGGTGGAGTCGGGACAGAATCCCTCCCTCTGGTCCCCTCCTGGGTGGAGTTAGGACAGAATCCCTCCCTCTGGTCCCCTTCAGGTTGAAGTCAAGACAGAATCCCTCCCTCTGGTCCCCTTCTGGGTGGAGTTAGGACAGAATCCCTCCCTCTGGTCCCCTCCTAGGTGGAGTCAGGGCATATTCCCCCCCTCAGGTCCCCTCCTGGGTGGAGTCAGGACATCTTCCCTCCTTTTGGTCCCCTTCTGGGTGGAGTCAGAACATCTTCCCTCCCTCTAGTCCCCTCCTACGGGAGTCAGGATAGATTCCCTCCCTCTTGTCCCCTCCTGGGTGGAGTCAGGATAGATTCCCTCCCTCTTGTCCCCTCCTGGGTGGAGTCAGGCCAGAATCCCCCCTCTGATCCCCTCCTGGGTGGAGTCAGGACAGAATCCCTCCCTCTGGTCCCCTTCAGATTGGAGTCAGGACTTCTTCCCTCCATCCGGCCCCTTCTGGGTGAAGTCACATCTGTAAACACATTTATTTGGATTTTCTTTTTTTCCCAGCTGGCTCTGCAGTTTACAGAGGATGACGTCTTCCTGCTGACCGCGGCTCCACTCATTAAAGCCGCCACCAATGTTAGGCAGGTGAGGAGCCAATCATTTTAGATACACGCCATGCTCTCCTTCCTATCCAGCTCCACCCTATAATCAATATCTCTCTCTGTCAGGTGTCCCGAACTCTGGAGGAGTTTAATGTGGAGGAACAGGCGAGCAGCACGCTGGAGAGACAACACCCCAACATCAAAGTCATCAGTTCTGCCGTCAGAGAGTTAAAGGCGGAGGAGCAGGTGAGCTATTTAGAGGAGAACTCCAAGAAAAGTCACCGGTGTGCTGACATTATATCAGGTTATGTGCACATCTCGTGTCCCTGAATGTGAGTTGCAGCAGTGCCTACACTGACCTCTACAGATCCCTTCCCAGCAGCTGAGGGAGGGTTCAGTGCTGAATCACACTCCACTGTGTGTAATGGATAGTTTGTGTTCTATCTAATGTGCAAAACATTAACATTCCTGGGATGCTTTAAGTAAGTTAATGGCCATGAACCTGTAACCACTTCCTATTTACATGTACTCCAGCGATGGCTGCGTGGCATTTCTCAGGGTGGGTTTCCTGATGTTAACAAAAGTGTGTTGTTGTTGACAACTGTGTATTTTGTTCTGGAGCAGCCACTTGTAGTTTCCATCAGAAGCCCCAATGACAGGGTGACAACGCAAGGGGGACATTTGGGAGACGGGGACAGAGTGTTGTCACCTTTCATGGCAGAATCACCGTGGATTCATTGAATGATTGCTGTAAAATTGAAAATATGGAAAATGACTTTTTGGGCCAGTTCACACCAATTACGGTGCGTTCCAGAGCGGCAGCTTCTGTAAAGCTCTGTAATCGCACACTAAGTGTACCCTTTCCTTCTGGGACGGGAGGGGCAGCGGCGGTGCATTGAAGTCGAGGTCCCGAAAAGCGCTTGTATCCATTCTGACAACTTGTTCAATAAAATGAGCAATTGGTCATTCCAAAAGGATCTTCGGTGTGCTAGTGACATCTTTCACATTTATCTCTAACACATTGCCTGTGTTTCGGTCCAGTGCAAACGCAAAAAAAAAAAGGGTACATTTAGTGTGCGATTACAGTGCATTCCAGCAGCTGCCGCTCTGGAACGCACCGTAATTGGTGTGAACTGGCTCTTAAAGTGAGAGTAACATGTTAAAGCTTCGATACGATTTCACTGATTGGGTTTACATCTACTGTAAAAGGCCAATAGGGAACCTCGGGGGTGGAACTAGTTGGAGAATTTGTCAGTGATCACTGGAGATGGATGGTGGCTTCTACATAAGTATTTAAGGACTGACTTCTTGTGTGAGAAATGAATATTGTTGTCACTTTAAAAGTGGTAATCAGATATAGACAGGCAGCAGACGCAGTACTCTCACATGCCATATAGGCTGCAAATGTTGACCCTCCCACATCTCACTATTGGTCAGTTAGGTTGTCCTTCTTAGTTATGGGCCAATAGTAAGGTGGGAGGGGCAGGCTTAAAGCAGAATGCCGGGCAAACTTTTTTTTCCCAACTCATCTTCCAGGGCAGCATCTGAGAGAGAGAATCCACCCACCCAAACAGGAAACACATCATCCACAATTAAAATAAAAGGGGCGGTACAGCCCCACCACCTCAGTATTACAAAAGAACCGTAGGTAGAAGGACCACCAGATAGTAATAATGCAAACAATGTTGAACACACCCCTCAACAGGCAGGGCAGGAATCCCTGCTGCCCTGGAAGATTCCTGGAAAAGAAGTTACCAGGTACCTAACTTGCTTTTTCCCAACTCATCTTCCAGGGCAGCATCTGAGAGATTAGGCAAGACATCATACTTTTTCGGGGGGGAACAACTTCCAAACGCCTCCTCCCTGCCAAAAGATTGGTATCAGCAGTAGAGGAGGACAACTCTGCAGTGCAATACCAGAGGTTGGCACTGGATTTAGCGGCTTTCCTCCAGATATGCTCTGGGGAAACCTCAGCTCTCCCAGGTCCAAGAAGACTACTGTCCTCTTGGAGCCTGCCAGAAATCCTTTGGAGGATTAAAGGTCACTGGATAGCTGAAGTCACCAGCCAATGGTGTTATGCCGCTTTACAGTCTTCACAAGGCTCTGAACAGGCCAAAATATTCTTGGATTTCCTACAAGGGTGACCGACTTCTAAGTAGCATCTGGCAACTACTGTAGCCTGGATGAGGGAGCTTGTTACTACTCATGGACGAGGTAGAATAAAAAATGTAAGTGGCAAGTCTGGCTGCAGCCCTATACTGCCATCAGTACTACCAACTGGGTCAGCTTGCCCCCAGTTTGTCGATGTGGTGTAACAGACACCACTGATTACGTAAGAACACCATCTGATATGTTCAGTTTATCGATGTGGTGTAACATAGATACCACCCAATTACATAAGGACACTATCCTATATGTTGGGAGCACGAGCAGCAGCCAGCTGCTGTAAATCTGGCACAAAGTTTACTGTTATAACATGGATGCTCGATAAAGAGGGAAGACATGCAAGAATAACCTTGTGAGGCCCAGGGGAACTCAGAAAAAAACAGTGCTTAAGCCGTCTAAGGGGTTGACGGTTGACAAAATATAGGCTGCAAGAAGTCTACAGCATGCCCAAGCCGTCACCGACCCGAACCTACTAGTAGTTTGCAGGAGGGAAGTAAGGTGTTGACATCATGGTACAACCCTTTAAACTACTTGTCATGGGCTTGGAGTTCTATTAACCTCTCTCAGATGCTGCCCTGGAAGATTCCTGGAAAAGAAGTCACCAGGTACCTAACTTGCTTTTTTAACCCTTGCAGTGGAGCTACACCTACACTGCAAGGGTTAAGTGCTCTTTTGTGTCTGGGTGCAATAATAACAAAGTTATACTCTCCCAATCCTCCAAGCCGTATTGTTGTTAGACCAGTGCCTGGAGTCTCTCCCCCTCCGCTGCAGCGGTCTAGGGTCTGCAAATCATCATATTTTATACACAGTGTATAGGACGTGACCATTGCAGCGGAGGAGGTGACAGGTCATAGGGAGCACGATACCAGCTGGCCGGCTGCGAGGTTCAGGTGAGTATAACTTTGTTATTTTTGCACCTAGGCACAAATGAGCAATAAACCCTTGCAGTGCGGGGGAAATGCTTCTGTAAGCGCTCAGCCACAAGGCCTGGTTGTGATATGCCTGAGTGTTAGGGTCACAGAATGTTGGGGCCCCCAGATGGTATGTAATATACTTGCAGCACCTCCACTGTATCCACCATCTTCTCAATCACAAGGGCCTGTTATTGCCCCCCTAGTACTCATTTTCTGATGTATATACACTGTGTTTCCAGCGAGTGATTACAGAGGATGGAAGACACTACACCTATGACAGGCTGTGTCTGTGTGCTGGAGCCAGACCCAAACTCATCGTGGACGGGAACCCCTATGTGCTGGGCATACGGGATACAGACAGCGCTAAGGTATGTGACCTCGGAGTGAAGGTTTATATTATGTGTGGTTGGCTGTGCGACGGGCAATGAATGAGAGCCTCCAACAATTGTCACTCCTCTGCACAGCCAGAGAGAGAAAAAAAAATAAAGATCAACCTTATGAACCCCAAATCAGGAATTGTAATAGGAATACAATTTTTAAAAAAGGTCTCATATCTGAACATAATGTATAACAGCCCATTGTACATAGTGTAATTCCTAGATAAGCTAACAAAGTGTGTGTGTGTGCTATTACATTTGGAGAGAGTTTAAATTAGTATTCAACTCTCAAAATGTTATTTCAGTTCTGGATCAAACAAATATAGGTTACCCAGCAAAGTATGTCTTTTTTTATTGGAGATTCCCTAGATATTCCATTTTCAATGACTTATCTATAGCTGTCTATGGTGAGGCTACTGCCCCTTACTGGCATGGCCAGGCAATGCAAATTGTATTCTGCATGGGATAAGCTACATGGGTTAGGTCTATAAATGTATAGTTATTATTATTATACAGGATTTATATAGCGCCAACTGTTTGCGCAGCGCTTTACAATATAAGGAAGACATCACAATTCAAGACAAGATGGGAAGGAGGGCCCTGCTCGGGAGAGCTTACAATCTAAGAGGGAGGGGCAAGTGATACATGAGGAGGTAGCTGTGTGGTGATGAATTGTTTGAGGCTGTGAGGGTTGAGTGGTTACTTTGAGGTGGGATAGGCTTCCCTGAAGAGATGAGTCTTTAGGGATCGCCTAAAGGCAGTTAAAGGAGGAGAGATCCGGACAGGTTGGGGTTGGGAGTTCCAAAGGATGGGAGAGACTTTAGAGAAGTCCTGGAGGCGAGCATGGGAAGAGTTGACGAAGGAGCTGGAAAGCAGGAGGTCTTTGGAAGAGCGGAGGGGACGGTTAGGGTGATACTTTGAGACAAGGTTTAAGATATAGCCGCGGGCAGAGTTGTGGATGGCTTTGTAAGTGGTTGTTAATATTTTGAATTTTATCCCTTGGGCCTTTGGAAGCCAGTGCAGGGATTGTACAATAATAGTAATGTGTGACTGGGGGTGGGGAGACATTAGAGTGTAAGCTCCTCTGGTGCAGAGACTGATGTGACTGGTTCAGTCTTCTCTGTACAACACTGCAGAATATGTCAGAGCTATATAAATGTATAATAATAGTGTGGGTCTGTCGGTGGAAGTCTATCAACCTTAACATTCTTCCCTTTCTGCATTCCAGACCTTCCAGAGTCACCTGGCCAAGGCTAGACGGGTGGTTGTAGTGGGGAACGGAGGAATCGCTCTGGAACTGGTGTAAGTGTCTCCAGATGCCATTCAGTGCTCACAGGAAGAATTGAATACTAGCAGATGTCACATTTACAGTGAACTGATTTGAACTCGGCTTGTTAATTTGCTTCCCGTAGTGCTGACATTTATGTTTTTAAACAGTTTTAGCATTAGGAGGACACATTTTAAAACTTTAAACATTTTTATAAAATAGAAAACAATGTGTTCCCCCTACTAGACAGTACCAGCCCTGCATGCATGGTGCTAGGTATGGTATCGTCCCTCTTATGCTAACAGGAATCCTCTATACTGAGTGTTCCTGTTCAGGTGATGCAGATCACTTCCCATTCATTCATAATTGAGGACACAGTACACATACTATGTCCTCAATTATGTGCAAATCACTGATTGCTGACTGTTTGCACTCGCTCTCCATCCTGACTCACTGTCACAGGAGGCTGAGCGAGCGGAGAGCTCAGCCTCCTGTGGCAGCACTGGCTGTCTCTGCCCACACTGCTCTCCTCTGATCTGTCACAGGAGGCTGAGCGGTGTGGGAGGAGAGACGCCGGCCGCTCACAGCGCTCTTCTCCCGCAGTGCTCGGCCACCTGTGACAGCTTCTCTCCTCACCGCTGGGACACAGAGCAGCGCCCAGCGGGGAGGAGAGAAAGAACGGATGCGCCGCTGTATCTGCAGAAAAATGGCACTTTCAGCATTTAGCCAAAAGTGCCATTTTCATCTGAAATATTTAGGCGGCCGATATATCGGTGCATCCCTACTATTAACCCATATGGAATATTGATCTGGAGGAGTTAAGGAGGGGCTCTTCATAAAAAGGAGTGTCCCTCATAATATGCCAGTGCTAATGGGCTGATTGACAATCTCATTGCCCAGAAGAGCATGCTGATAAGGGGCGGCTTATGTGCCGAATGAGAGCAAGTAAGTGGCTGCCTCCACCCTGGAATAGTGTTTTAGCCTGCGGGCTAGTGTGAATGAGCCCTTAAAGTAACAAAGTGTTCCCTTTGGCAGTAATTCCCCCAGTGAAACGTATTACAGGGACAGGAAGTAACGGGAGGTCTCCAAGGGGAACATGTAAAGCAGTCCATGCCTGGCGGTGCTCATAGGTATTGTATTAGTGAACAGATGAAGTGGAGTCTCATGATTTCTGCCAGTGGCTGTGAGTCAGTAGGGTTATCCTGGAACGTGATGCTGTCATACAGCAGACTGTAGGGCCTGAAGAGTGTACCTGTGTCTTACTTTCAGATATGAGATTGAGGGATGTGAAGTGATCTGGGCGGTGAAGGACAAGTCTATCGGGAACACGTTCTTTGACGCTGGAGCTGCTGAATTTCTCATCCCACAACTGAGATCTGATAAACCAGAGACGCCCCTGGCCTGCAAGAGAAGAAAGTATACTACAGAGTCCTCTGCAGGTGAGTGGCGGAGGTGACACATCCTTTGTGATATTCAGGACCTGCAGGTGACCATTTCCAAAAGGTTGATATTTCAGGTTTTATTATAGAAGATGCAAATTCAGCTGCCTAATATTAACCTATGAAAGGTTACCCATGATTCCTGCTGACCGCTGAGAATTTCCAGATACATCATTAAATAGAATGGTCCTACACTGGGCTGTCATGTAGAGGTCTGAAGATTACATGTAGATCTGATGACTACTACTCTCCCAGCATTCCTACATCCCACTGAACAAACAGGGGTCGTCCACACATAATAGTTATGTTCCAACCCTCAGCCTGGGGGATATCGGAAGACACCATTTGCACACTGTGTGTTACATTGTTGCCCTGATGAAGGGTCCCTGCGTGGCCCCGAAACGTCGGTTTAATTATTGCAACATGTATGATACTCGTCCGATTAAATGGGCTGGGGGATATCGGAAGACAGTATCATCTGTAGGGCTACACAGCCTCTGTCAACCTACTGTATAGACTGAGATATCTCACCACCCACCAGAAATGCCCAGTGGTGTGGAGGTGACACAGGAAGTACAACAATGTCAGCCATTTGTTTTTACAGTGTCACCCAGCCTGTGGAATGAACCTTTTCAAAATCACATCCCTAAGAAACAAATGTGGGAGATCAGAAACACCTCATTTTCACTGGGTCCTGAAATGCCTCTCCCTGGCGGAGCATTAGTCAAATGATTGCTGTCAATAAAAGTGGAGGACTGCGCTTCAATGTCACAGCCTCAATCTCACCTTGGCATTTTGTCATGTGGTTGACAGCAGCCTAGGGGAGACTAATTCTGTGTAAACGGTAGAACTGGAAGCAGTGCTGATCTGCAAAACTTTATACAGTATATCCAGCTTTCCCTCGACAAAGATTTCTGGTTCTTCCTGCTCTGTGATTGGTTGGCAGGGGTTGTGCTGGTCACGGGTCTTATATAAAAACTGTCACCCCATGTCATTGCCTCATCTACTTGTTTTCACTTACATTTTAGAGAGAGAAGAGTCCCGCCTGGGTAGTGCATTAGGGCCTGACTGGCACGAGGGGATGAATCTGAAGGCTGCACAGGAAGTGAGTACACCGTGACTGGGGACACTTGCCCTGCTGGCAGCATTTCCAGTCTCACCATCCTCTGTCTCTTCTGCTTGCAGTTCTCCCGCTGTGTCCACATAGAGATGGAGTGTGAGGTACAGAGGATCCTCCTGGGTGATGAATTCAGGCAGCTGAATGTCCTGGCTCACTGTGTTCCCCATGGAAACGCTGCAGAGAACAGCGCTGCCTCTGGCACAGGCAAGTATTGCAGCAAGTACAGTTTTTTAAGTGACACTAAACTCAGGAGTGAAATCTTAAAAATACATTCAAGTACGTTATCTTATACCGAAAATGTATCTTATTTGTGTATCACTCGGCTGGAGACCCTAGAATCATCTCTGAATTGGTGCCGACACTGTCCTTCCTTCTGGAGGGGGGCTACTTTTGTTCCCCATGGTCCCGGTGTGTGTTGTAAAGTAGTCACCGATCCAAGCTCGCTCCTGTGATGATGATGTTTATTTGATGTGCACGGCACCATCCGTGATTATCACTGCAAGCACCATTATTGTGATTCTGGCCGGTGACGCTGCAAGGAGTGCAGGGGGACATATTGGACTTTACCATTGGAGGGGTGACACCAAACTGACTGGCTGTCATTTTGGTGTCACCCCCTCTGAAAAGTCGGGCGCTCGGTCATGGACCGAGAGCCCGACAGTTGCAGGAGAGAGGAGGGGACCCGGCGGCACACCTTATCCCGCCGGGTGAACTTCCCCTCCTCTCGCTGCTGTCATCCATCACCAAGATGGCCGCCAGCAGGTATCACAAAGATGGCCGCACATGGGCGATTACGTCATCATGCACACGCATGGGGATGTCACGTGCCTGTGCGATGATGTCACGGCGGGGTGTCACCCGGTATCTGCTCCGTGTGACACCCGGCCTCGGGACGCCCCTGCGAGGGAAAGGAGCCACCCTAAAACAGGATATCTGGGCCAGTGCTGAGGGGACCGGCTGATTTTTGCAAGAAACTAAAACTTTGAAACATCAAAGAGAAGTATACATTGTAAGTGATGTAATCAGCATTTGAAATAACTTTGTGACTTTCATATAACTTTAGTCAAATGTTACAACTACTCCATTTTCAGTAACAGTGATTCTTATTCTTTTTCTTCTTGTGTTTTTCAGTTGAATGGCCAGTTTATGTGGAACTGACAAATGGAAAAGTGTATGGCTGTGACTTCATCATCAGCGCTACAGGAGTGGTACCGAACATCGAGCCATTTCTTCCCGGAAATAATGTGAGGAGTGAAGATTTGATTTCAGTTTTCCACTATACATTGAAATCCTGTACACCGTGTAATAATTCCCCCATTACAAAGGAATATGAAATCCAAATACCATTATAATATGTTTTTGGGGTGCGCTGACACCAGTTATGGTTCTACAAAGTTACCTCTCATTGTATTGATGTCCATTTAGCTTTTGTGTTGATTCTTCTCCCTTTAGTTTGAGATTGGAGAAGACGGAGGTCTGAAGGTGGATGACCACATGCGGACATCAGTGCCCAATGTATATGCTGCTGGTGACATTTGCACTGCGGCCTGGACGCCGAGCCCCCTCTGGCAGCAAGTACGTAATGTGCCAAGCACCTAAAATACATTTTTTTTTTTTTTTTATTCAATATATATTTAACATTTTTCAAATACCATATATACATTTAAATACATCAAAAATAGTTTCCTTAAACACATACATTCATTCAATTACATAATACCTACCTAAAATACATTCTAACAATCTAGTCACAGTGATGGAGAAATGACATTAAAGAGACAACATTGGAAATTAGACCCCGCGGCATATACGTAATGATATTGTATCTTTATAGATGAGGTTGTGGACGCAGGCGCGACAGATGGGCTGGTACGCAGCAAAGTCTATGGCGGCCGACCACCTGGGGGAGAAGATTGAGATGGACTTCTGCTTTGAACTCTTCGCACACGTTACCAAATTCTTCAACTACAAGGTGGTGATGGAGCCTGTCCTTATATACGCCTCTACAGCCCGACATACATCACGCATAGCACATGTGGTGTTGGAAGGGCGATAAGCCTGTCATTAATTACATATTTAACATGACTGCCCAAAGACACGTGTACCCTAGATCACCATCTCTCAACTTACAAACAAACAAACAAACCTAGAAGTGACCTTACCTGTACAGATAATCCTAGAGGTCCTTATCCAATACAGAGAACCTAGAGGTGACCTTACCCATATAGAGAACCTAGAGGTGCTCATACCAGTACAGAAAACCTAGAAGTGACCTTACCTGTATAGATAATCCTAGAGGTCCTTATCCAATACAGAGAACCTAGAGGTGACCTTACCCATATAGAGAACCTAGAGGTGCTCATACCAGTACAGAAAACCTAGAAGTGACCTTACCTGTATAGATAATCCTAGAGGTCCTTATCCAATACAGAGAACCTAGAGGTGACCTTACCCATATAGAGAACCTAGAGGTGCTCATACCAGTACAGAAAACCTAGAAGTGACCTTACCTGTATAGATAATCCTAGAGGTCCTTATCCAATACAGAAAACCTAGAAGTGACCTTACCCATATAAAGGACCTAGGGGTGCTCATAGCAGTACAGAAAACCTAGAAGTGACCTTACCTGTATAGACAATCTTAGAGGTGCTCATACCAGTATAAAAAACCTAGAGGCGCCTTTACCTATATAGAGAACCTAGAGACGTCCATACCTTCAGCAGGTCCAATGTTCTTGTGCTGACACCTCATTGCCAGGCCACTGTGATGGGCAAACAGCAGACACTTCTTGATAGTCAATGTACACAGGAGATCCTCTGCTCCAAGCTCCTATAATCCCCCGACTCTGAGCCTCGCTCCCTTCTGCCTTTCATGTACATGCGTGGAAAACAACAGCCGCATGCAATAAAATGAACCTAATTACATCTGAGCATAATTAAGGAAAAAAACTCTGGGCAAACTTTTTCTTAACCTTTGCAGTGGGGCTACCCCGGCACTGCAAGGGTTAAGTGCTCGCTTGTGTCTAGGTGCAAAAATAAAAAAGTTATACTCAGCTGAACCTTAGAACGGGCTGGCTGTCACAGCACTCCCTCCAGGCTATCTCCCCCTCCTCCGCAGTGATGGTATGTCCCTCTGCATCCTCATGTCCTATCCACAGTGCATAGAATGTGATGACTGCAGTGCAGTTGATTAGCTCCTTTTGCTTCTTCCTTTTGTAGTCTTAGCTTTGTTGTACAGGAGATGCAAGAGGTTCATACCAAGTCAGAGTTGGGCACACTTACAAAAATAAATGAAAGGATGTATTATGGTTTTTATCTACATATTATAATGTTGTATAGCTTGTCTACTGCTGCAGGTAACTCCTGGAATCTGAGCTGAGGTTTTTCTTGCTGATCACACTTGTACATTATCTGTGTGATGTTCCCACCTGTTGGCAATGCCATGATAACCTCCTGTCTCCTCTCCCAGGTGATCCTGCTGGGGAAGTACAATGCACAGGGCCTGGGTCTGGACTATGAACTGATGCTGCGCTTTACCAAGGGACTGGAGTACATCAAAGTGGTGATGCAGAATGGCCGCATGGTGGGGGCGGTGCTGATCGGGGAAACGGACTTGGAGGAAACATTTGAGAACTTGATATTGAATCAGATGGACCTGTCAGCATATGGAGAGGACCTGCTGGATCCAAATATTGACATTGAAGATTATTTTGATTGAGATCTATAATGGAATTAGGAGCGGCAGGAAATGTAGAATCTGGTTTTGGATGCGTGGCGAAAAAATAATAAGTTATTGGAAGTGTGCAGGACACACAGTACTGAGTGACGTTCTCTGAAAAAGAAACCGTGCTTTACAATGACAAACCATGGAGTCTTCATCTCATCTGCACTGGGGGGAGAGGAGGATTCTGATTGGTTGTGATGCTATAGGATCACAAGTCCCAGCATGCTCTTGCTGTTCAAGGTGTGCTGATATGTGTCTTCAGCATAAAAGTGTATGTCAAGCCAAAAACCTTTTCTCTAGTTTTGGCTAGAGCGGGCAAAGATTAAAACTATTGTGGCCTGCAGAGCACTCCAGTTTAGATCTGTGTTTGACATCCCCACACTGGAGCCGAGGGTTGTTTTCAATGCTTCAACAAAGCAGCCGAAGCTGACACACTGCTCGTATACCAACTGAAGGCCTAGAGCAGGGGCAGGCAAACTCCAGCCATGCAGCTGTGGTGCAACTCCCATAAGGCATTGCAAGACTGCTACAGGCATGACTCTGGAGAAGCAGATGCATTATGGGATTTGTAGTTAAAGCACAGCTGGAGTTGCCCAGGGTTGTTCTATAGCAGGGATGGCCAAACTCCGGCCCTCCAGCTGTGGTGAAACTACAAATCCCATGAAGCATCTCTCGGGGAGTCGTGGCTGTAAGAATCTTGCAAAGCCTCATGGGATTCGTAGTTCCACCACAGCTGGAGGGCCGCGGTTTGGCCATCCCTGTTCTATAGTATCTCCCTTTCGTTCCTCCACCAGCAGCTAGGTAACAGGTCATGTAGGGAGCCTGAAGTTTCCCCCACAGCTGGAATGCCAGTTTGTCTACCCCTGGCCTAGAGGAAGCCTGTTGTGACAAAAATCTGTCATTGCTGAGCTCCTTCTGTTGCCTGCTTGTCTTTTTCTGTCTTCACTGGCCTGGAGTACGCATGGATATCAGGAGTTCGGCTTTCACTAGCTGCATGATTGTTCCAGGCCCATAACTTAGAAATGTAATGAAGCCATAGAGAGAGCCAGGCAGTGTAGCATTTTCAAGAGAGCTCAGGAATGGAAGTCTATGTATTTTACCCATGACAGGTCTTTTTTTTTTTTTAAACAACTACTCCAGTCCTAGAGTTTTTCTTCAATCCTCTTGCATTACAGAGTGGTTTGTTTTTTTGTGTGTGTGTCAGTTTTGCAACTTGTACCAAAGTCTGCTGATTAAAATGATATCAAACTGATTCATATGTAACACGCCGGAATGGTAAAGTTTGAAGTGTGTGTGTGTATATTTATTGTGTGATCTGTTGCTGGCTGCAATAAGGCCGCAATGGATCACTATAGGAGTGCTCTACTACTCCAGGGAAAGGCCGGACAGAACTCAACAGACCTGCACAAGCCTCTGTACTGACAGAAAGTGTTGTGACATTTCTTTCCTTTCTATGTAAAAAGGTATGGAGGCGCTTTGCCTGCTACAGAGCGCTACCCCAGAGAAGGCGTGGTGGTGATGGCAGGGGGGGGCTCTCTTCCTATAGAGCAGTCTGTAGCTGGATCATAACCCAACAGATGATTATTGAAGCTCCTGGGCTTATCGCTGGACCCCGGTTGTCACTGATAATGGTTTCATCGATGAACCCTGCTAGAGCTAATTAGTCCGCGTGCCGTTTTGAGATGACAGCAGTGTTTTTCAGCACCAAACTGGGCCAAGGATCGAAGGGACTCCACCAGGACACCGAGATGTATTAGATGAGGACACAAGAACTCCTAGGCACCAGAAGGTCATGGAAGAACTACGGAGCGATCCTTCGCACAGTTGTTTGAAAGGTGCAGGCACCAGGGCTGTTATTCTGATCCTGGCTTTCCTCCTAAGTTAATCTGACCTGGAATAAGGAAGGCATACAGAGTATTCAGACTTCATTAGCTGCATGCTTGTTCCAGATCAGTGAAATTCTGATCAGAATCTGTTCACAGCCATCAACTCCTGGGACTGTGCTGCATGATTAACATATGAGCTTCCTTTCTCTGCAAGCGCTACGGCGGAGAATTCTGTCTTAGCACAAATTCTGCAGACAAGAATCCTCTCATCACCAGAGCACCAAATAAATCACACAATCAGCTTTTCTCCTGAATACTTAATAAATAGAAGAAAATGCGGCAGAGTTGTCAGAAACATAATTTATTACCACGTGTTCAATCATCTCTTACAGCACGGGCACACAAAGCTCATCCCCCTGCCTGTCACCTATATAACATATGTACATGTCAGCCACAGTGGGGTTCTGGACATCAGACTGTTCCAGCAGCTGATCTGTAGAATGGATTCACAGCACCAGAACTGTGACAGATGATGACCACATCACACACAATAAAAGGTGCCCAGACAGGCCGAATTTCAGCCAGTTTTTACCAAAATACGCACTGTGTGTGGGACGGTCGGCTCCCTTTCAGCCGGCATTCCTCATTCAGCTGGCAGCCAATGAACTGCCCGCTCTGATCGGGTATTCTGACAGGTGTCGGCTGCACCTGTCCGAATACAATGTACACAGCGGCGATCCCTCGATCGACACGCTGTTTGTGTTGATGGAGGAATCACGTCAATTTCTTGTGTTCAGCCTGCGGGGTTGAAGGAAATTTTTTTTACAGATGTATGGCCAGCCTAAGCCGCAGAAATCTGTGTTCAGACAAGGTGCATTGCTTCTCCCTTCCACCAGAGGGGGTGCTGGAGCAAAAGCAGTGTTCCTACCCCTAAGATACCCCCCTACATGATTCCCTATACATTGTAACATGACAATTCGCAGTGAATGTTTTCTATCCCACATTCACCTCCCTCCTTTGCCAAAGAGTTGTCAGCCAGTGATATGGAGTTCCTAATTACCCAGCACATTATACTACATGGGTCTTTTCCATGTAAAGAATTAATAGTCTGTTTTCTTACGACGACCTACTTTGAGTGAGCATGGATCATCTCCAAATATTTCAAGAACCGGCTATGTTAACACCAAAAGAAGCCACGCCCACATCCTGCAAACTAGAGGAACCTCCTCTCCACAGCCAGAACACACAAAGATTGAAGACGTGGAATGGCAGCTGGTTTTCTATGAGTGAGGAAGATACAAATCTGGAATTCTATAACTGAAGCTGAGGCAGTGCCGGACCGAAGAGTATAAAAGGAAATGAGCGGAATTTGGTGAAATAAAATCTGAATTGGCTTTCCCCTTCCAGAGGGAATTAGTACCTTTCTCTGGGACGGCTTCACTCGTGTAACAGACGGCTGATCTGGAGGGCAGATCGCCTGCACCCGTTCCCCGTAAATCCTCCGCACAGCCTGCGCCATTATAATTAGAGATGGCGGATTCCCTGAAGATCAGTCGATTACGATGGACTCCTCTTTCACACGTTTGCTCGTTTTGGCTCCTGAGCTGTTCCCGGAATGCGGCCTTTTGTGTTCCGAGCTCACCTTCGTAGCGCAGGACTTGGAGGACTCTGGCGAACTCTTGATGGACATTTTGGATGAGGAAGGCGGAGATTTTATCTGTGAACGTGATTGTAAATCGGGGTTATGAAATGGGTGTAAATCAGTGAACTACAAAGAATATCAAGAGTACAGTATATAGCAGGGGTAGGCAACCTCAGCCCTCCTGCTGTTGTGGAACTACAAGTCCCATGAGGCACTGCAAGACTTACAGCCACAGGCATGATGGGTTTGTAGTTTCACCGCAGCTAGAGAACCGAGGTTGCTTACCACCCAATATACAGAATATGCTTTGCTCCACTGCTGTCAGCCTGTGATCCATCAACTGTGTGCACGCCGACCACATGAACCCATCTCAGCTCCACAGACAATACACACAAACAGTCCCACTACCGCGGACATCACTCCCAATGAACTTTATTGACACCAGTACATGCTGCAGTCCCCTCCTAGGCACCGCCCCTCTACTGCATTTCACCATAAGGGCCTAATTGTAGAAGCCATGCCTGACATTCACCAAATACCCACCAAAGCATTTTGATATTTGCATAATTCCCTCCAAGACCCAGCTCAACACTTGTATCAGGGCTGAGGGCTTTTGGGAGCAGTACCTAGACCTGATCCTGTGATGTTTTCATGTACAGTACCCTGCCAGCCCTTCCCACCAGGCTTGATCTGCCTGCATTGAATAGGAGAAGCACATGACCCAAAGATGACATCACTGGGTTGAAAATAAGGTACGTATTGAAAATGGGAAGCTTTTATTTAAATGTCATTAGCATGTTAAAAAGAGGTAGGCAAAGCAAAATATAAGCAGGTAAAACTTCAGCTTTAAAAAGAGAACTATAGCCAAACTTTTTTTTGGGGCTCTAGTTTCTTTTGGGTCACAGGAGGACTACTAATGTCCTCCTGTGACCCAAAGTCAGCATATAGCAGCCTACTGCACAGAGCCAGAGTTGAGGATCCACCCTGCTACCTGATTGACAGCTGACTGCCTCTCTAGAGCCAGAGCCAGCTGTGCCCGCCCCCTCCCGTCTGTCCCTCCAATGAGGGCTGGAGGAACGGAGAGGAGAATCCCTGCGGGGAGCGGTGACCGACAGTCTCTGCAGAGAGAAGCCATGCGCTGACCAATCAGCAGTTTGTGATCGTTCAGTTCTCAAGCTATAGAGCCGACATGTGACAGCTGCGGTGCCACAACGGCTCAAACTATTGGGAAGAGTACATTTTATTCTAATAGTTCTCCTTTAACTGTCGTCATGTGCAGATTAAAAGGTCACACCTCTGATCTACAGAGGAATGAAACAGTAAAAACAATACACTGTATTGGAGCTGGATGTTGGAGATATGACCTAGAAACTTTGTTGAGGTTTTTTAAGATATATCTCTTCCATTGAAACCCCTCAAGTGGTTAGTTTGCAGCACACTGAAATGAAATGACAGCTATCAGGTGGATAATCAGGTAGAAACCTCTGCGGAGAGGAACATGGGGAACCATAGCGGACACCTTCCATAAATGCTAATAGAATAGCTGCAATACTATTCACTAATTTGGAAAAAAGCATACAAGAAAATCAAACTGTACACTTGTTCCAGGTCAGCAAATATTGGAGAAAGAGCGCCAGGCAGCTAGCATTGTCCAGAGAAGTCAGCTATGGCTCCCTATTTCTCCCAGCACAGAGGTGAGCCGCCTTAGCGTTCTCCATATATTCCTCTGGCCATGCCACGGTCTGCCTATAATAGATGATGGCAGTAAGGAGTATCCGGACTGCCCAGTGGGGCTCTACCTGGCACCTCTGATCTGATTTGGGTGTCTATAGAACAACCAGCATGGGCCCCATTATCACATACCTTGTTCGGTGTCCTCATCTGGGTAGCAATGGAATGCTTCTCACTCCTGAGCAGATTGGCTTTGGGCCCCGTCTTTATGTAGGAGATGGTGGTGTACGCCGTGAAGCTGAAATCTTCCCTGCAGGAAAAAAGGCAAATGTTGTATGAGAACCTTCCTGACACTGACCTTCCTGATACTGACCCCTTCCTAATGGTCTCCTTTGCATACATTGGCTATTATATGACCACATAGCACTCCAAGGGGCCTCTGTACAATGTCATATGATGATGATAATAATAATAATAATAATAATAATAATAATAATAATAATGAATAATAACATAATATGATGTAATAAACTACAGAAGTACCAACATTGCGACACACAGATTGCTCATTAGTAGTGAATTGCCCCTCCCACATGCATTTCCCTTGCCAGATATAAACTGAACAGATTGTTTTGCATCTCTTTAAAGTGGACCTGTCATCGGATAGACTTTTCGTGTTAAGTGCTAATGCCCAGTAATGTGTCAGTGTAACACTTCCAGTTTTATCTTAAAAGAATAGCCGCACACCGCCAGACCTTCAGATGTTTATTCTTTGCAATCCTAATGTGCATACCACAGACATTTTCCCTCATACACCAAGAATCCACTTACACGTTTCACCGGTTAGGTTTAAAAGGAGAAAATCACTCAGCCCCATAGTCCGAGCCGAGTGTGATAATGAAACTGTCACAGGTCGGCTCAATAGATTGGGAAGTGAGTGAACGCATACCGTCGCTCGCTCACTTCTCGATCATCTCCCTGCAGAGAGTCGTGACTGCCATTCACCGCTCCCTGCAGAGATTCCTCCCCTCCTCCAGCGCTGACTGGCGGAACGGACGGGGGAGGGGCGGGTACAACTGGCTCTGCCTCTAGATAGGCAGAGCCAGCTGTCACTCACGCAGCTGGGTGGATCTGGACAGTAATGTCGGGATCCGTCCCGGCTGCGGCGGTCTCGGAATACCCTGAGCTGTAGCTCTCGATATACTGAGCTTTGGGTCACGGGAAGATGCTTGTATATGTCCTCCCGTGACCCTTAGGAGAACAATGGGGAAAAACACTTACCCCATAGTTCTCCTTTAATCATTGCAATTGTAGCGCAATTGTAGCGCAATTGTAATTTTTGCGCGCTGGGGCACCGGACGCGTATTTACGTTTATAGGCGCGTAAACGTGGGGGTGGGGGAGTTAAACATTTTGGGGGGGTTTTTTCCCCTTTTTTTATATGTGGCTTTTATTTTATTTTTTTATGTGTTACTTTTCTTTTTTTTTATTTATATTTTTTTTTTTGCACTTATTGTTATTGCTATTATATAGGGGGATAACAACCCCCTATATAATAGCAAAGGCACACTGACAGGTCCAGAAAGCTCTATGATTAAGGCTGGGTTCACACCTAGGCGTATCGAATATGCGCGTTTGGTGCCGGGCCTTTTTACAGCGTTTTGCGGTTAAAAAAACGTGCGACAAACGCGTGTTTCCGAGGGCTACCTGGCTGTATCGCAATGGGAAATACGCCCCAAAGAAGCTCCTGTACTTCTCTGGGCGTAGGACGTTTTGCAGCTCGTTCCTACGCGCTGTAAAACCCCCCTTGTGGGAACTATGCCCATAGGCAATCATTGGTTTTCACATGTTGAGCGTTTTACAGAGCGTAGAAACGCGCTGTGAAACGCCCAGGTGTGAACCAGGCCTTAGCCTAACCGGTAAAACGCATAAGTGGATTCTTGGTGTATGGGGGAGCATGTCTGTGGTATGCACATTTGGATTACATCGAATAGACATCGAAGGTCTGGTCGGCATGCGGCTATTCTTTTAAGCTGAAAACTATTGAAGGTGGACACGCACTTGTTCAGCCTGCACCTGTGGGATCTCTGATATGGGGATGCAGGCGGAGAATCTGAGCAGTGAGATCTCTTTGTGAATGGTACTAAATAACTGGAAGTATTAAAGTTCACAGAGATCACAGTACTCATCCACTTTTCTCTCCATAAGAATGGCATCATCTTTGTTCAGGCATCATCCAGAGTCACCATCTACTCGGTGGATTGAGATACCGGCTCAGAGATGACACAGTCATGTAAAGTCTGCTGACTGTGCAGTTCTTGGCTGTGTTCACAAACATCACGCAGATCAGCCTCTCACCTTGTGACTTGCTACAAAGTTTTAATGCAGCAGAATGATCACCGAGGGAGAGGAGACCAACGAAATGTTTCCTCCTGCCTGCAGCAGACTGAAGACATCATCTCAGCCATGGCAAAGTCATAGGGTGGGGGAATAAGAGGAAACTGTGGAAATGCTTCATCCTGCCTGCAGAAGACTGATGATATCATCTCAGCCTAGACAGTCACTGGACTTGAGCTCAATTACCGCTTTTTCATGGTAAAAGTTGAAGCTTTTCTGGAAAATGATACTGCTGCTGTCTATTGTGACCGGCCTGGAAGATTTTTTTAAAGTAACTTACAGGTCCACATTACAAAGAAGATGATGCCATGAGGGTTGTACATTCACAATATTACGAAACTTAAAAACTTTGTTGTGATTTTCCTATAGATATAACAGAAGATAAAGGCCGATGACTTTGCATTATGAGCCTTCCCCTCCTCACCGTATATATTTCTCCAGCAGGAGGTGAGTGATGATCCTCTCTAATTCCCCACGCAGGAGCCGTGGGGGAAGGACTTTGGAGACGCGCAGTTTGGAAGCTCCTTTTCCCAGCCAGGCGTCAATGAGTTTCAGTGGGGTGAGCTTCTCGTCCATCTGATCGGCATGTTCCAGGATCTTCAGGATATCTCTGGAGTAATCCGTGATGTCCGCTTTGTCATAGGCTGGACAGACAACACACTCATTAGCTCCAGACTTTCTCTCACAGACAGTACTAATAGATTTGTCTCATTCAAGTCAAATGTGAATCTCTAATTTTCACTCTGCCATTCATGTTCTGTAGCTGGATGGCCTGATGGCAAGCTGTGTATATTTTCTGAATCAGAGAACCAGCATTTCTCCTGATTCCAGACCTATTGCCTGCAGTATAAGAAGTAGGAATGCACCGATATATCGGCTGCCAAAACATATTGGCCGAAAATGGCACTTTTGGCATCATGCCGAAAGTGCCATTTTCTGGCCGATACAGCGGTGCATCCGTGTATTCTCTCCTCCCCGCTGGGCGCTGCTCTGTGTTCCAGCGGGGAGGAGTGAAACTGTGACAGGCAGCCGAGCGCTGCGGGAGTAGAGTGCTGTGAGCAGCCAGCGTCTCTCCTCTCACAATGCTCAGCCTCCTGTGACAGCTGTCAGGATGTAGAGCGGGTACAAGCAGTCAGTGCTCACTGATCGCTGAGTGTTTGTTAATAATTGAGGACATGGTATGGTTACTATATCCTCAATTATGAATGAATGGGAAGTGATCTACATCACTTCCTGTTCATTCATGATTGTGGTTATAGTAAACATACTCTGTCCTCATGTTATGAATGAACAGGAACACTCAGTATAGAGGATTCCTGTTCATTGATAGCAGGGGCTGCAGAAAAAAAAAAAGAGATTGGGGTCTCTGTGTTCTCAATCTCTTTTTCCATTTTAAAAAGGGAAATATTGGAGGTCTAAAACAGACCCCATATATTTCCCCCGAAGCCCCTAAAAGTAATGTAAACAATACAAATATTTAATAAAAAATTAATTAAAAAAAATAAGAAAAATTTTAAAGTTTATAAAAATGGAAATAAAACATTTTTAAAACATTTGAAAAAGTTAAAATAAAAAACATTTTTGGTTTCGGCCTGACATTTTTTTTAAATTTCGGTTTCGTTTCTGAAATTTGCATTTCGGTGCACCTCCAATAAGAAGTCATATGACAGGAGGGTGAAGTACAGATTAGTTAAAGAGCAGCATTATCAGGACGAGGTCATTATTGACCCCGAAACAGATTTACATTAAAGCTTGGAATACAGGCAGATCATGTCTGGTGGGAGGAGCTGGCAGGGTGCTGTACATAGCTTCCTGAAAACATCACAGCACCATGCCTCAGTTCTCCTCTGAAGAGCCCTCAGTCCTGGTACAAGCAGTGGGCTGGCTCTTGGGAGGAGAATGTGCAAATAAATAGTCTTGATGGGTGGGTGTCAGTCTGGAGAATGGGCATTCCGAAAGCGGACTACATGTGCATGCAGACCACCCTAGGTAACACCCACATTTGATGCGGAGCCTCCATGGATTAAAAAGACTGAAATCCAATGAATAAAAAGGGGCAGGCCAGGGTGGTGAGGAAAGAGATAGATGATGCTAGAAGACTTCCAGCCAGCAAATGAAAACGGACTCGGACTTGCTGCGGCTTCTAGTGCAAAATATGAGAAGCTCGCAATGTGCAGAGAAAGCATTTCAGTATGGGAGAGAAGCCGGTACAACTGTGCAAGTTTAACGTGAAGGCCACAAAAAAAAAAACACCAAATAAAAGCAGCAATCACTTGATTTCTCTAAGCTGCCGCTGACAAATGGAATCCGGAATCTGGTTCATACGGCACTTTGCAGAGCTGTATGAACTCAAAGGATTGCTTACTCTTGATGGCATTGCAGTTATCGCACATCTTATTGCACTGCGCAGAGTCCCAGACTTCATCAAAGTGCTGAGCGATCACGACACGTCTGCACCTACACCAGAAAATCAGACAGAAATTCAGATTATTTTCCATCATTCTACACTACGCAAGAACTTGATTTATAGGCGCCACAAAACGAAAGACTTCAAAGTTGTTTTTTTTAGCTTCAGGAGACAGAGAGAGAGAGACAAAGACAGACAGAGAGAGAGAGGTGTGCTTTATTCTGGCAGTGTTTTGCCCCCCCTTCTCCCAATCACAGTGTCCCTTGACATCCTTATGCATGGTTGCCTCTGGCTTTAATGGTACCAAGTCCCTGACCTGGAACAAGCATGCAGAAACTAACATCCACCCGTCTGATCTGTATACTTGTTCAGGGGTTAGCTACTCAAAGTATTAAAGCCACTAGAACAGCGCGACAGCCAGAATATTGGCATTTTCAGAAGAGGAGTTCTGCACAGGTTTCTTTTAACTGCTCGCTGGCAATCGCCTCAATGGCAACATATCGATTTTGGGGTGCTACTAGGGAGGGGATTGGTTAAAAGTAGTGAAATCGCTCATAATTCATATATATATATATATATATCACCTGCATTGCTGTATATTTACAGAGAGGTAGGTACGCTGCAGCTACTTACCCAACAGATCACAGGCAACAGCCAGCATGTCAGGATTTAGCCTGCTAATAATGATTTCCAGCATGCGGGATGATAGTTGGTGGAACTTTCCTGCAGGAAAAGGCTAATGATAAGCCCAGGAAATAGTGTCCTGGAAACTTTCACCAATGTATCATCTGAAGTGCTGTCATGTGTTCTTTCAATTTGCACTCCTATGGTACTGCCCATGTTACCTTAGAGGAGTTCTGTGTGAGAAGTATCATGGTAAGCTATTGGTCCCCTGGCAACGCACTAACAATGGCTTGCGATATAAATATATAAACCTGCCACACACCTACTGAGGTCCTGGCAGTACCGAACCATCTCATAGAGCTTCTGCTGACCCACATTCTCCATGACAACCATCGTGCTGATCCGAAAAATGTCCCCAAACCCGTAATATAATATACAGTCGGCCCGTCTGTCATCCCGACCTGTGAGGAGGAGAGAGAGAGAGAGAGAGAGAGAGAGAGAGAGAGAGAGAGAGAGAGAGAGAGAGAGAAGGTCCAGTGTAAAGAGAGAGAGAGAGAGAGAGAGAGAGAGAGAGAGAGAGAGATAAGGTCACATGACTGTACGCTATACAACCACGACATCAAAGAAACAAGAAATTATTATACTCCACACATGCATGAAATCAATTTAATATTTTCCAGTTTTATGTGGCAAAATTAACCATTTGTGGACACCGGAAGTCCTACACATGACCAAGAAAATGTCATGGAAGTACACAGAGTGTGTGTAGTATGCCCCGTCCTTCTGCCCCACAAAAAACTGACCGTCTAACAAAGTGTTTATTAACAATGTTCAAATGCGAGATAGAAAGATACAAAGCAACACAGTTACATCTGTATCTACCCCATCTCATTCATCTGCAGGTGAAAGGGACGAGCTTCAATCTGTATATGATGTCAGTTTCAAGCAACCTGGCAAGTATAAAGCTGGCCATACACCTATAGAGTGTCTGCAGATGTTCTATGGTCAGATGGAAAAAGTGCAACAGATTCCTACATCTACGCTAAACTGTGTGGTTGGATTTTCAAAATCGATTAGTTAGCCGATTATTAAGTTCGATTAATCGGATAAAAAATAAATACATTTTAATTTTACAAGAAGTTAAAAAAATTAAAAAATATAAAAAAACAAAATAAAATTAAAAAAAAAAAAAGTGTAAAAAAAAACAAACTAATAAAAAAAAAGGACAGCCCCTCCCTCCCCCCACATAACACACACATAGTGTGGTGCACACCATGCACATGCGCTGCAGTGCGTTGTTAGAACGCATCGCAGTGCATGATCTTTTTTATTTATTTTTTTTCTTTAAAAAAAACCATTAAATTAACTGTGGCAGCGCATGGCAAAGCTTTGTGACTCATTGCCATGCGTTGTGATACCTTGTGTTGCAATTAAATATACACCTGTATCATTTTATCACAACACAAACACCAAAACAATTTTTTACATAAGTCGATTATTTACAGTTTTGCATACCTTCATTTTTTTACCTTTTCGCAAAAAGGCGCAATTACAAATTTGCTAATATTTGTTATTTATTAACTCAATACAGTTTTATCTTTTAGATTTAGTCAGAAAATATTTTTTTTTGTGCACGGATACTGATTTTGGTGTGTTTTAACAATTGAATTGTGTATTTTTATCGGTTTAATATTAATTTGAGAAACATTTGCGCAATTATCGCAGGGCCTACAAATTTAGTATCACCATCTTTTTATTCTACCGGGCCTGCGCTTTCAGAAAATATATGGTTTGGGGGGTCTTTTACAAACGCTAGCAACGCAGCAGTTGAAAATCAAATCAATAGGAAAAAATTGCAGAAAATTCAAAAATGGCTTGTCCAGCTGATTTGAAAAATGTTCCGGAGGGCTTGGCAGCGAAAGGGTTAATAATTTTTTTTTGTCACCAAAAAAAAAAAAAGTACAAAATTGAAAAGAAAAAGCCTTTAATTTGTAAATAACTTTGCAATACTTTATACAGGAATCCCAGTTGTGTAATTTTATATAGGACAAGTTATTTTTTCAATCTATAGTAATTATTTTCTTAAAACACTGATCACATTTTTTTGTTTTGTTACTTTTCTATGGCTTGCATAAAAAATAAAATCATTTTTTTCAAAACAATCACCAAAAGAAAGCATTGTTTGTCCTGAAAAACGATAGTAGTATTACTTTATCTTAAAAAGAGAACTATGGCCAAACCTTTTTTTTGGCCGTAGTTCCCTTTTGGGTCACAAGAGTAGATTTTCTAATGTCCTCCCGTGACCCAAAGTCAGCATATAGTGGACAACTGCCTGCTATATGCTGACAGTGCAGAGCCATGCTGCAGCCAGGAAAGATTCCGACAATACTGTCCGGATCCACCCCGCTGTCTGATTGACAGCTGCCTCTGCCTCTCTAGAGGCAGAGCCAGCTGTGCCCACCCCCTCCCCTGTCTGTCCCGCCAATGAGCACTGGAGGAACAGAGAGGTGAGGGGGGAATCCCAACAGGACGAGGTGACTGACAGTCACTGGTCTCTGCATGGAGAAGCAGTGAGCCGAGTGATCAGCGGTTTGTGATTGCTCAGATCTCGAGATACAGAGCTGACGTATGACAGCTGCTGTGTCCCCCACCTGCTCCATCTATTGGGAAGAGTACATTTTACTCTCCCAATAATTCTCCTTTAAGTAATGGCAAAGTTATTGCCGAATAAACAGGCCCATAGCAGATATGTTAAAAACTTGCCATGGTCCATAGGGAGTGTACAGGTGTGACAGCTGAAGGGGTCAATTACCTGCCCGTCCACTCTCTTGGTAATAATTCTCCATTGATTTACTCATCGAGTGATGAATGACAAACCGCACATCTGACTTATCAATCCCCATCCCGAATGCTACTGTTGCCACCACCACCTGAGAGAAATTAAAGAGTAAAGAGTCAGTCCATAAAAAAAAAGAAGTAATTTGTCAGATATAAGTGGAGTTCAGTGAGCTAAATCAACTGCTAGGGTCTTATATGTTGTGGTTACTCCAGAGATCTCCTCATGAAGCTCTTTTTGACCACCTTAGAGTTTTAGCTTTTTAGCTCAGCAACTGAATCCCATGACGCCATGCGAGTGTGAGCATGTCTGCGCCCAGTATTACGAATATATATTGAGATAACCTGAACGCACCTGAATCTTATTCTCAGTCCAGTAAGTGTGGACTTTTGTCTTGTCACGCGGTTCCATGTTGGAGTGATACGTTCCCGCTTGGATTCCTAGTTTCTGTAGGCTGATCGTGACTTGTTCGGAATCTTTCTGAGAAAAGCAGTATATAATACCTGGAGAACGGGGAGGAAACGGAGCACATGTAAGAAAAAAAAAAAAAGAAAAGGAAAAAGACAAAAACACATCAGCAAAGAGATCTGGGCTGATTTAGGGCTCATTCATTTGGGTCATTAGGCTGCTGTATTCTGCATGTGGACGCAGCAGCACTCTGTGCTACTTTATTGGACGGCCATGGATGCTACCGGTCTGCATCCAGGGCCAGTCACAGGCCTTAATGCCATGTAACTGCTGGTATGAGTGCCTACATGTGAACAGTAGTGGCTCCGGTTATTGATTCGTACAGTGTATAAATCTGGCAGCTTTTCGCACACAGCATGTACATGGGGCAAAGTTTCTCCACTGGCCGGTGAAAAAGCAAACCGACCGTATGAATAAACCCTTACTAAAGAATTAGAGAGAGTGTGATATTCACTTTAATTATCCTACCATGTACAGATCAAATAGGTGAACATGAAATCTACAAATAATGTATTGTGTGAACACTCTTAAACCTTTTAGTTAATCAGCCTCAGGATGTCTTGCTTGCCAATATACACAATAAAAGCAAATATGAATATGAAGATATGAACTATTCCTCCAATTAATAACAGTAGAGAATGAAACACAAAGAAGAAAAATGGCGGAAAAGGCATCTCTGCAGTGAAATCAGAGTAAGCAGTTTTAGTCCAGGAGAGGAACCTGTACAACTGTGCCAGACTGAAGGGAAGGCCGGAGTTCAGCTCTAGAGACACCACAAGGGTATGGTGATAGTGCCTCCTAATAGCAACCCCTTCCCCCAGAAAGCTATAGTCCCCATCCCTATAACCCCCAGGCTTTCCCGGGTAAGGAATACTTCTCCATACTCAGAAGCCCCACTCAGCAATGGCTGTAACAGGGAAACCCAGAAAGGGTATATCGACACACACGCACACAGTAATCCAATATAGAAACCGGATAGGATTCTTTCCATTCTAGGGCTGGACACACACCTTACAACGAAAGTCTTGCGATGGTGGTAAGGTAATTTAAAAAACGTACGATCTGCCTATCTTGGACAGGCAGATCGGACAGGCAGATCCGATAACCGCAATGCCGAACGGGTAGTGTGCGCTTTCACACACCAGCCCGTCCGGCTTTTATCTTACGAACATGCTACACACCCGCCGAACATCGTACGATGCTCGGCGGGTTTTCAAACATGTTCCTAAGGTAAAAGTCGTGCGACCTTACAGTAGTAGAGGTCACACAGCTTCCACACACCTTACGATAATCGTACCATCGCGGGATTTCGTACGATTATCGCAAGGTGTGTGGGCACCTTAAGTAGACATAGACCCTCATTGATCATCAAGTCAATCACACATGTATCAGAGCTTTATCTGCATTGAGAAGTGCAGGTGTGTCATTACCGGACTGCCCTTTATATCGGCAGTTGACCAGTTTGACGATGTCGTCTATAAATTCGTTGGTGCTCGAAGGCTTCAGCCGGACCTGGAAAACAACGTTAAGAGAACCTGTCAGTTAAAAGGACAAATGTGAGAAACGGAAATTACCCCCAAAAACCGGTCCCTTTTGCATCTGTCCACCCACCCCGGCAAGTCATCCCTTTGGGAGAACCACCGATTCCCCCTCCTGCTCTAGCCAGTACACCGCACATGGCACCGCAGCCCTGCACTCAGTATTTCAAATAATGCTCAGCGAGCACTCATTGCTCAGCATGGTCACCTGCCTGACCACGCTGACCAATAAAATAAGCTTCTTGCTCATTTCACATTTGGCGGGAAACTGGAATTACCCTTTAAGTTTCCAAATTAATTTTTTGCGCTGTTTTTGGTTAGTGACTTAGCTTTACAGAGAGTAAACAGAAACGCACTGCTTCAGCAGTAGGAGTTGGGGTGTTATAGAGCCGCTGGGG